GTGAGTGAGAGCAAAAGGCTGTACTGTAGCTGCTGCTGCTGCTGCTGCATTGAGCGATCCAACAATTAAGCAGTCTGCGTTCTGGAGGCGCTGTGTGTCTCTCCAAAACACACGGCATTTTCCCGAGGACTAATTATGTTCTGGTGCGCCCGCCGCACTACTAGAGCGAGCAGTAGTGGATGTTGCAGCTACGAAGCTACTTCTGCTACACCTCTTTCCTCTCCCTTGAGAGAAACAGAGTCGCGCGAAACACAAGACTCCGAGGAGAGAGAGACGAAAAGCGCGTCAAGACTGTGCAGCCCCGGAAAGACTATTAATAATGCCGCGGCACACACACACACACACACACACACACACACATATATATAAGCGAATACACACGCGCCGTATAATATATAATATCGTTCGCGGCAATTTTCGAGCTTTCGAGTTTTCGCGGCAGTATATATGCGGTACATAACGCAATTGTACCTACTGCTACGAGCTCTGTTTTTCCATCATGTAAATTTCATGCGTCCGTGAAATGTGTGTACAGTGTATAACTTGAGCGAAGAAATTAAATGAAAAGGCACTCGCGAGCGAGCTCGAGGAATATACGGCATCATTCGATATAATGTAAGCGTACGGCAAATAGTCTCCCGGGCGTGTCCGACCGTATTCTGAGCTACTCCACTGGCATCGCTTGATACAGGTGTTGCAAGCTACGCTGCGCGCTGTGCTTATATATCTATAGATACAGCTAGACGGGTGTCCTATGTATATCGTTGTTGGCTCACTAAATATTGATATACTTTGGAAGATGTATACAGTTCGATTTGTTTACATTGCTTGGTACTCGAAATTTCATAGCTGCAGATGTGATTGCTTGCTGGGTATTTGTTGTAAGAATTTTGAACAGATATTTTTTTGTGCTACCCCAACCTAAAGTAACATTTTACTCTCGCCGAGCAAAACCAAAATGTTACTTTAGGCTGGGGGATTCACGAAAAATTGTATTTGCCCCTATGTAGCCAGTTTTTCACTCCCTAGGTGCAAAATATACTAATTATTCCACAATTATCGTCAAATATTTTTAACTTCAAGTTTGACTCTATTCGTTACCAAGTCAGAAAATGTATATTTCAGTTGTTATTGTACTCATATATTTATACCTTTCTAACAAAAAGTAAGAAGGATGGTTAAATAAATAAATAAAATAAATAAATATGTGTCTTAATATAAGCTAATACGAATCTTGGACGAATCATCCTAAAGTTCTGTGAACTTTCAAGTTCTATTGCTAGATGTCACTTTCAAATCTGCAAGTGAAAAACTTTAATTTCTGAGTTATAACATGATTTTTGGAATTGAGTTTTCTATAAATAAATTTTTATTATTTATTATTTGAATAAATTGTTATTGTTTCTATAAATAAGTTGTTGTGGTAAATTTTGAAATAACTTAAATAAAATAAGATGATTTACAAACGAAGAAAAATTGATACACCACAGAACAAAGGCATTATGTTATTGATGAAATCTCTATTTTGGCTGATAAGAGACATATGTAACATGACGATTGCTAACTGTAATAATGTTAAATGATCACTACGGTAGTGTTAGTTCGATTCCTTTTAATTACCATTAACCTTCTTTATAGGCTATTAATAATAAAAACAATATTTGATTTCCGTGACACACACGCACACGCATGCGGTTATAATATTTTTTTTCCTCCTTTTCATCCGTCGAGGCGCAGAGGATTACATTCTTTCGAAGCGTGAGCACGTCGTCGCGCTTTTTGGATTCATCGACTTCAAAAAAAAAAAAAAAAAATAAGGTAAAAAGTATCCACAACGGGGCAAAAAAATAATACAATAATCTACTTTAGTCGAAAAGGATGAAACCTTAAGTCTCTTATCCCAACTTCTTTTGAGCCATACTTACACGTGTATAGCATTCTCAAAATCGAATCAGTACTTTCTCCTTTCCTTCCTTCCTTTTTTTTAAATAAAATTCGACGCATCGCGTATATAGCTTATATAACGTTCCCGTGTATAGATGGTATATAAAAAGGAGGGGGTTAATTCAGTTGAAACACTCGTTTCCTCTCTCTCGCTCGCTCGTCCGATGTTATCCTCGTTTTCTTCATCTCTCTCTCTCTCTCTTTCTCTTTCTCTCCTCAAACATATCACGACCAAGAGATCTAGCCAATACTGCGCGCGAGTTCGCCTCTACACTATACCACGCGTATATTGCTGTCGTATCTCTCCATTTCGACTTTTATTGCGCTCGGCGCGTAGCGCGCGAACATTGGATCTCGTCGCTGCTTCTTGCGCGAGGCTTGGAATATAGATGTATATATTTTAGCAATGAATAGGATTATGGATATTTGATACCCATTGGACGGTGGCGCAGCAACAGCGTCGTCCCAGCGAGGTGCTATTGAATCAGAGAAGAGGAAAAAAAGAGGATAACCCGTATACTGTATTATATATTGACGCAAAAGATGATGAGACTCGACTATATTCGATATTATACGATCCAATTTTTACGGGATCCTTTTAGATATATGTCAAAAGATCATATACTTTGGTTTTTAACGAAGCTCGATCCTTAATAGCGCAAGCATACAGCATGAAAAAGCCATCGTCGTGAGCTTTTTTGTTATATACAATATTAAATACTCGCAGGCGACAATCGGATGCGACGGAGAGAAGCCCGAGCTCGCGTACAAGCTTCTGCTGCTGCTGCTTCAAGAAACGTATCTATAGTTGGGCTAAATAACATCGGAGCTGCACACGGGGGAAAAAGAAACTACTTCAATTGTCGAGCAATCAGAGAAGCAACGGCTGTTAGTAGTAGTGGTAGTCGAGCCGATGCTGCAGAAAGAGGAAGAAGACAACGACGCCTATTCTTTTCGTTGCAAAACGATTTGACAATTGCTCGACGTCGAGCTCTTTTCTCTTTCTCTCTAGTCTCTCGTTCTTTCCATCCTCCTCCTCCTCCTCCACCTCCTTCTCCTCTTTGCTATACCTACCCCCGGCTGGGGCTCTCTTCTTATCCTGAGCACAATTACTGCTAACTGCCTGAGAAGTCCCGCGCAGCAGCAGCCTAGGCTTAAGTGCACCTATATATGCGTATAATAATAAGCGCAGGACAAGGCAATGCTGCATTATTACGATCGGCGAGAGATGAGAAATTGTTATTTTAAGCCGACTATATTCTTAAAAAAGGTCGCTACGGTAATATTCATTATTATATATGTAGCCGCACTCGTCGTCTCATTTGCTCTTTTCATTTTTCGCTCAGCGTATATATATACGTACAAGCATAGAATTAAATTATGCGTGTCAGATCCATAGCATAGGGCGTCGTCGTACGTCAGTGGTCAAACGATCCGTAGCCGTAATTTATACACACGTACACACGTACACTGCGAACTACTATATGTCTCTTAGGCCAGATGAATCAAAGGACCGACCGAGCTAGATTAGAGCTCACGAGTTTGCATAACTGCAGCGTCATCATCGTCATCAGCAGCAGCATCGTCGCATATACCACTACCCTCGTGTATTTCGAGAGTCGAGTCCCTTACGATATCAGTTCGTATAGATCACACGGTGATTAGGCAAATACAATATTACACGTATAGCGATACGCATGGAGAGAGTTTCTATATAACAACGAATTGTAATAAACCGATATACATAGTTTTTCACGGACGATTGATCCTCGCGGCATATCGGATCCTTATGGATTTGCATGAAATTCTCTCCATTACCACGAGACGAACTACTATACGTACATAAGTTTTGCGCGTTTAGAGCCGGATTCGATCGATAATATATCCGCGCGTGCGGTTAATCGCATTTGCCGACACTACCACCACCACCACCACCACTCGCAACTGCTGCGAGCTGCACACGAGATTCGTTTATTATGCGACAAAACCACGTCGCGCGTACGTATACCTGCGCGCGCGCGTGTGTGTAGTTTACTGCAGGTGAACTCGTCGCGTCGTGTCCCGGGGTCTCTGAAAATTCAATTTTCAACGTGCGGGCGAGTTCGCAGAGGCTGTTGCACTGCGGCACACATCGCAGAGCTCGTCTACTGCGATCAGCAGCTATACGATAATTTAATAAATTTATTTACATAGCTCGATAGTATTATAATACATGTACAACACGAACCGCAAGCTAGATGACGCGTGCGAAGCTTTCGCGCACATTACGACGTGAAATTTTATATTACGAATATTACACGAATAACGCGAGCGAGCGAATACGAACCTCGAGCTACCTCTGTTGTGTATCGCGTATTACGTATACATTAATGAGCTCTGGCGTACCTGAACTATTGTGAATATTAATACACGCGCTCATATATGAAAGGGCAGGTGTGCTGCTGCGAGGATATAATCAGCAACATTCATGATAGCGCGGCAGACACGACGCGACGCGACGGAGGGGGACAGACGGGGGAAGCCCCGTAATCAGTGCGAAGATAAGCAACTCTCCTACATTTGTAGCGCTGTATGGCGGCGTGTTTCGAGTTGCTGCTGCTGCTCTTTACTCGAATAAACACACGAACACAGCGTTGTAACGCTTATGGCTGTTCGTATATACGTACACGAGACTTGGCTAATGGAGTCGCGTCGAGGAGCTGCTGCTGCTGCATTCAACGTCAACTTCGACTTTCGACTATACATAAGATAGTTTACCAAGATGCGAGCGAGCGAGCAGTCAGGCATCGCTCAGAGAGAGAATGTTATTGTGCCAATTTATGCTCGCGCAAGCTCGGCCGAGCGAAGGAGGCATTTTACTCGCGTGCATGTGTGTATGTATAAGCACGAGTGAAAGCGCTAAATCAAGGCTGCGGCATTCTCGAGGCAGACGCTTTATTCGTACCTTACACTGTGCAGTGTGTGTGCGCCGCGCGCGTATATATATACCCAGAGCAGATAAAAGAAAAATGTCACGGAGAGGAGAGAGGGTGAATGGAGAAAAAGAAAATGATTACCTTTTGGCAGGAATCCAGCGTGTATGAGACGGGCCTCCATGAGCAAGGACGGCAGCAGGAAGCACATGGCCGTGCAGAGATGTATGAAAGCCGAAGTCGGACCCCCGTGTCTCCACAAGCTGCTGGCTACTCCTGAAAGGGACAAAAAAATTAATTTTGTCAAATTTTGAGCGCTCGCAATACGTCAAAAGAAAAAAGAAACACAATTACTCACCGCTATCGGCGCCGGCGTTGATGAGGGTCGCGGGCGGATCCCTCGTGCAGGTGGTCAGATGCTTGCCCAGCTTGATGCCGTCGTTGGCCAGATTGCCGAGCTTGAGGAAGGCCGCGGCGAGCAGGATCGGCAGCATGAGGACACCCGCCCCGGCTAGCGCCAGACAGGCGTACAGCTCGATCTTCGGCGGTGGCGCGTCCGCCGGCCATGGCAGTGACAGGTAAGCTGTGTGGGAAAAGGAAAAGAAAAAAAAGTGTCATAACCGTCGTATTCGAGATAAATATTTTCTCGCGCGCTCCTACCGATATCGACTGTCGCGATCTATCGAGTTTATGGACGTAGACGTGCAAAAACTATTGTACTTCGGTGTTGAAAATATTCACATCGAAATTGATGAAAGAGTGGAGGAAGTATTTTTCCTTCGCGTACTTAAAATTCAATTCTTTTTTCATTTACATTAATTTTCATGTAGTTTTTTCTAATTTTTTACACGTTTTAAAGAAGATGGCAATTACAACAAAAATATAAATTAGAATTTTATTACATTATTGTTTATGCTTGTGTTAAGAAATGAATCTAATAATGGCGATTTTGTCGTCACCAATAGCTGTATCGAATTCCCAAAAAGCACCTGGCTATATATTTGTAAATTTCTTAGATTTCATAATTGATCCAATATACTAGTCGTGAGAGCGCAGAGAAGTAGTATAATCTTTTTCCAAAGTGTTGCCTCTTTTTATTTGAAAAGTGATGACGCGAGTGAAAAGGTGGCTCAGAGCTATCAAACGACAATAACAATACTGGTGTATGCACAAAGACGAATCATAACAAACGATATAATCGATTACGTGAATTTCGGGGCGTGCTTATGAAAACTCGCGTACGTTTAGTAGTAAACGTACTATAAGCAAATCAAAAAACTCACCGATGAATCGCTTGGTGCATCTGTAGGCTATGTAAGACTGAAAGACCACGGCGATGATGCCGTACCAGACGGACCAGAGACTGTTGACGTGGCCCCGACCGCAGCCACCGCCGCTGTTTCTCTTCCTCTGCGCGGCGGCGTGGGCCGCCGAGGCGTCGGCGCGAGCCTTGGCCCGGGTGCGGGCGCTACGGGCCCCGGCGGCGTTGCCGTTGGCGAGGGACGACGCGGCCGCGGTGGTGCTGGTGATGCCGGCAGCGTTGACGCTAGTCGCCACGGGCAGCAGCGGTTTCAGGCCCTTGTTCTTGGCCGCTTTAGCTTGGCTCGCCATCATGTCGTTGTTGTTCTCGTTGTAGCCCATCAGGCTGCCGCCCATAGACATACTGATTCCTGCGCAGCAGAGACGATAACGATAACAATTACGTGTACGTATAAGTATATTGTCATGTATATAATACGCGTGGATAATAATAATGATGACGACGACGACGATGGTGGTGGTAGTGGTGAATTAAAAAGGCATTTAGGCCTCCGAGACAAGGTGAAGATAAGGAATAAAAGCGTACCGAAGGGCTACTATACAAGGAGGGAAGAGCTGGAAAAGGAAAAAGCGAGAGGCGCAGAGGCTCGAGCCCCGAAAGGAAAAGGAAAAGTCGACGACGAGGCAGCAAGGAGTACGGTGGAAAGGTAAAGGACCGGTGGCGCGCGAGAGATAAAGTACATACGGACGCCTTGGGAATGCCTCGGACTATGGTGCTATATATAATCGAGTACCGCTGCTGCTTCGCTTTTCCAACGAAGCTCGAGTCCCGAAACTGCCTCGCTATCTTCCTCTCTCTCTCGACGTCGGGGCTCTCTCTACGCGTTTGCGAGCGGTCTAGGAGATATAAACGCGAACGAGCGAGACACGGCCGGGGCATTTTATCGACGCAAAACTACTACTAGACTATACGTGTACTCCGCCGTCGGAGCTTGCGGAGCGCGTCGCGTTTTACTTCTATTTCTTTTAATTAAGCGCGCCTACTACTACTACGCGACCGGCTCTCGGGCGCGCTCACAGAGTGAATTTTTCATTTCAAGCCTACTACTATACGTCATGGCCCTTCTCGCCAGATATATGTACCTGTATTACATTATTATTATAGTAACGTAATGTGTCATGTTATAACGTAGAGATGGCGGGGAGTCTTTGATATTTGAAAAAATTATAAGACAACGTCGGGACTCGAGGAGTAAGAAAAAAAGATTTATTTTTTTATTTTTAAAACTTTTCGTTAGGCTATGAAGTTACGGCAAGAATACGCGATAACGAGGATATTCTCAAAATTCGCGTGCAAATTGTCATTATTACGTAACACATATATATCGCATGCAAATATGGCAGCTGCAGATCGAGAGTCCCGCAAACCCTGACGCAGTCTCATAATTTTCCCAAACTTTTACCATTATAACGAGCCATACGCGGCACGCGTGCATATACGCGCGTTCTATAACTACACGAAAGGCATATACCTGCTGCGCGAGCGAGGGTCAACGTTCTAGGCCCATCATTCTCTGTGCGCGCGCGAACGTCGGCGCGCTCGCATACACATATAGTATACATACATACACACCAAGGGCACATCAGACCAGAAACTATATTCTCCCTGTCTCTCCCACAGGACGCACCGGCGAAATTTACGATCGCGGCGCGCGGGCGCGCATATACATATAGCTTTTGGAGCTTGACGCGCGCACGCGAGATTATCCGCCCTGCGCGGCGCTGCCATACTACTACTCTAGGCTGCTGCTAGCTGCTTTTCTTTCCAACCCTCCCCGCGTTTCACGCATACGTATATATAATCAGAGTGTACGTGTATGTGTACGCGTTTTAGTTTCTCTCTCTCTCACTCTTGCAGTCGTGTCTGGCCCTTTAAATTCTTCGACTCCCCCGCCGTCGGCGAGAGAGAGAGAGAAACTCTCTCTCTCTCTCTCTACGTTTAGTTCCCTATGTACGGATCCCTTTTCGAGTGTTAGCAAGCGCGACGTGTACGCGATGCGTACATATATATACGTACACACACATACACACATACACAGTATAGGTAAACGTTGCCGCGTGCACGAGATCGCGCGCTGAAAGGACGTTAATTGGAATCGAAAGCGAAAGCCCGTACAGCACACTACAGTACGGTACGCGATGCTCTTTCGATAAAACTTTCGGTTAGGTACCTCTTCTCCTCTTCTATCTTTTTTTTTTAATTCCATCGAAGGCTCTATAAGCACTGGGCTTTTTTCTCTCTCACTCACTACGGCGAGATAACGCGTTTATATATATACGCGTGTGTGCAGGGAGCGAGAGAGAAAATGCATTGAAACGATCTTTCGCGGGGAGTGTGCGGGCTCAAAGAGCCGCGCGCGTGTAAACGAGCGAATCTAATTGTCGTTTTCGAGGATGCATCTTTTGAAATTTCGATCCATTACTCTCTCTCTCACTCTCCTCGGAAGCTCGGCGAGCGAAATGCGATTTCATAGCCGCCCGTCACGGCGCGGCGGACCCCTACTCGAATTTCGAGAGGGCAAAGGTACGGAAAGAAGAGAAAAGAGAGCGAAAGATATGCTTTGATAAATATACAAGAGAGATTTCGAATACTTTATAAGTTTTGAGCGGGAGCAAAAAGGGAAATAGAAGGCTTAAGCTGCCTCGGTTGGCAGCAGCGGCATCCCTTGCGCGCGCAATACGTGCCGCAGCAGCAACTAGAGGACAAAAAATTGCAAGATTGTCTCTCGCCGGCGCATACATCACGGTCTACCGACTGGCGCAAAAAAACGAAAAGGAACGATTCTCCATCCTCATCGTCTGTCTCTCTCACTCTCGCTTTGCGTGTCTGCATAGTAAAAAATCTTCGTATCGCATTTCAAAGCCCACAGCAGCAGCAGCGGTGGTGGGCGGCGGTGGAGTTTTGTTACGCGGAAAAATTCCAACTCGCAAATCGAGAGAGATTCCGAGGCGTGTTGGGCGCGACACGCGCATCATTTCTCGCACCTCTCTCTCGGTAGTGTCCGCAATATCATCCCTCGTTTGACCTTTTTTTTCCATCTTTCGCTCGCTTTTATTTTTGCGGTTTGAATGTTTGGGGGTGCGCGGAAAAAATTCGACGAAATATCATAGCTTTATTTTACCACATACACCGTGTACGTACACCATGTAAATTCACACGATAAACAAGCAATTCCGATTCCACGAGCCTAATTATATATATCTAATGCTATTTGATTTTTAGGTAGAGAGAGAGAGATTAAGGAATACGTGCCTGCCTCCTTAGGTACTGTTTTGAAGGAAGCTCGCGCGCGTAGTACTGCATTATATCTATAGCACGACCGATATAAGCAATTGAATTTCTGGTACCGATCAGTTTGCCAAACACTCGAACAGAATCTAATTACGAAATGCCTCCCTTTGCATATCGAAGGCATTGCGCCGCGCGCGAGAGAGAGAGCTGAGACATTAGACGCGTAGGTACTACTACTATACGCGTACATCGCCGCCGCCGCCTCGAGTTTGCCTTTGATCGAAACGCGCGCGAGGCTGAGGGAGAGAGAGAGAGACGACGACGACGAGAAACGGAGAAATTCGATCGAACGGCGACGTCGTATTGCAGGTATACACGTCGTCTCCATTAGTTCACCTCTCGAGAGTCAAAATATGGCTATATATGCGCGTCTGCCAGTTATGCGTGTGTGTGTGGTTGTGTATGGTATGAATCCGCAAAATTATGGCTGCGCGCGAGAAAAGCCTCCGCACGTCGCGTCTTCCTTACAGAGATCCTTAGCCCTTACGTAGTTTACTCCGTGCGCCGATGCAAGTAAGGAGGAAATCTCGATACAGCCGCAGTTCTAACCGTGCGGCTGACGAAACCGAATGGAGAGAGAGAGAAACGCGTATTACGGATGTTATGGTATTACCGAGACCAGATATAGCCATGGATGATATATTCGGTTGGATTTATGGCGGAAAAATTCGATACGTAATCCGGTACGCATACGAGATTTCGGATATTATATAACGTAATATAAAATGAGGAAAATGGATATTATATATGGTCGTAATTTTATTAATGATATTATTACTTACATTAACTTTCCAAGAGGCGCAGCGCAGATCTGCTACTTTTCGTACGTGAGACTTTTTGAAATATTCTTGCAGCTCTATCTTTTTTTCCTTTTCTTTCTTCTTTCTTTTATTCTACCAATTAGTCGGAAGCATCATCTCGAGGGTAGTCGTCGTTGCCGTCGACCGCATCTGCAAAACAGAAACGGCAAACAATTAGAATTCAATGAACGTTGCGAACCTTCTCGTATCTTATACACTACATTATATACTTTATCCTTCCGGCCAGACGCGCGGACGCTTCATTGTACTTTTGTGCAAAAGGGCCAGAGTAGAGAAAGAGAAAGATTTTCAAGCGCCGGCTCGAGTGTTGCATTAATGAACTCTCCCATTAATTAGAATAATATTATAGAGAGAGAGAGAGAGAGAGAAACGATTGTGCAACGAGTCGAAGTATATAACTTTAGTCCGCGCGGAAGAAAATAATAATGGAGTATGGTAATTATTTTCAACGTTTAGAGGTAATGTTTTGATATCTCTGTGGAGGATCAATATGAAAATAGTAAATCCTAGATCGACTGGCGCACAGGAGGCGTCATTTATTTTCAAGTTGATTCCTACGTTCGCCGCTTGTGCTATGTAGGCGAGCTTTCAACTCAATTAAAATTTCAATTAGATTAAACTTTAGAAACGAAAAGCTGCTCTTCGACCGCACGCAGTTCCACGGGATCTAGGACACGCGAGTGGTATAATGTTTTATTAAACCTATAGATTCTAGCCGACTATTCTGCGAGAGCAAACGACGATTCGTAACTTTATGTTTTTTTAATCGATAAATCATTCAAAGAATTTAACGTTATCGTAGTATCATCATTGAACAATTGCAATAACAAACTATAGCATTTTATACATAGATAGTTATTTGTTTTTAAGATATCTGTTATTAATGTCTGTTATTAGCTAGCATAGAGATTTCATCAATAGTATAAGGACTTTTTATTGTGGTGTTTACATTGAAGTAGTAAAATTTTCTTGGTACAGTTTGTAAATATCATCGAATCTGATATAAATTAGTTTCAATTCGTACGAACAGATCAGTCGAAAACTCAAATCTAAGAGAAAAATATGGAATCTTGCGCGATACTACTGAACATGTGTCAGTCAGAGATGATGGATAATCACTTCAATATATAATAACTGAAAAAATAATCAAATTTTATAACTCAGATATTGATGTTTTTCACTTGCAGATTTGAAAGTGCCATCTAGCAATAGAAGTAGATGTCACTTTTAAATCTGCAAGTAAAAAACTTAAAGTTAAATTTCAAGTTGAAGTTTGATTCTATTCGTTACCAAGACAAGAAAATGTATATTTCATTTGTTATTGTACTCATACGTGTTTGATATAATTGCTAACACGACTCTTTAACGAATCATCCTGAAGATCTGTAAACTTTCCAGTTCTATTACTAGATGTCACTTTCAAATCTGCAAGTGAAAAACTCTAATTTCTAACTTATAAAATAGGATTTATCCTTAATATACGAAACATGCCGTTAATATGAAACGACTCAATCGAAATCTCCATCCGATTAAACTTTCGCAATATATAAGAAACGATGAGCTATTCTTCGTCGCATCACCCATATCTAATTGCGATCGAATCACTCGAGGACATGCGAGAGCAGAGTTTTTTTAATCGTACCTACTATATAGGTTATACGGATTCGAATCAAGCTCGCATATGTAAACGCGATTACAAGCTCGGGGTAAAGAAAAAAAGACGAGGAAAAATCCACTCGATAGTTGCAGGCCGCTCGCCATTGCCGCCGCCCTTTAAGGTACTCGAAGCCTCGGAGAAATAACAATAAAAGTGAAGGCGCGACGGCGGTATATATATACCCGCATTCTCGGTCCGCAGACTCGCTCTAGGTATATACACGTCCATGTGCAGGAGGCAGCTCGTATAATGAAAGGGGCTGGTAATATGTGGGTAAGGTAAGGCGCACGAGAGTGAGAGAAGCTCTCTCTTTCCTTCTCTCTCTCTCTCTCTCTCTCTCGCTATAGCTCGCGTTAATTAAAGGGACACGGCGAGGCTATATAGAAAGATAGTTTTTGCGGTGCTCTCTCCTCTCTCTCTAGCACATCTCTCGAGAGCTCGAGACACCGCACACTTACACTTTGCCCTCTCACTCTCTGGCTCTCTTCTTGGCGATATATGCAGTATATATATCGCGCCGCGGACAATGAGGAAAACCGCCAAGGAGCGAGATAACATCCTCGGCCATTAGCCGCTGGGATTAAAGCTCTATATTCGATCGCAAGCTCGCGTGTGCATTACATCTCGCGGTCTCCTTTGCTCACACGCATCTCTGTATAACTATAACTATATAAGTAGCATGTAGCGAATTTCAACTTTGATCATAAAAAAGCTCGCGCACATCTCTCTCGTATACTTTAGGCAGAGTTCGATCAAGAAGACAGAGAGTGAGTACGAGGGAGGAGTAGCCCGACGTCGGGGCCCTTTTAATACTCGACGATATTAGCGTCGCGTATATACCCAGAGAGAAAAGAGAGAGTGTGTATATATAGTGGCTCTCTCTCACTCTCTCGCAGTGAATAATGGCTCGGAAAAGGCGTGTGCGTGCGTGAGCGCCGGCAATAGTATACAGACACAGACCCGCAGCAGCAGCAGCCGCCCAGACACGAGAGAGAGAGAGAGAGAGAGAGAGAGAGAAGGGGAAAGTTCGAGAAAGCGAAAGCTCTCGGGAAATCGGAGCTTGTGTGTATACGCTGGCGCGCATTCAGGCTCTTCAGGCTCTACTGCTGCTGCTGCTGGTGCCATGCAGCGGCAGGCGACGCGCGCTTGTGTATATCGCGCGCTATACATACATACACGCGGTGATATAAAGTAGCAACGATTTTTCCGACCAGCCGCGCCGCGCCGTTTTTCTACCTTTTTTTTTTTCATCCTTTTCAATCTGTACGTGCGCGTCGCGAAATACGCGTGCTGCCGCTGTTCCACCCCGTTATGAGAACGATGAACGATTCGATTTTTGAAGAATCATCAAGCTTATCGTGTACCGTTTGAGCTACTTGCGTACACGACGACGACAACGCCGCGCACGCAATGCTCATATACTTACCGGAAGATAAAAAAAGGGAGAGAGAGAGAGAGAGAAAGAAATCTCGTTTGCCTCGCGAGCTTTCATGTATTCAATCAAGGTATAGTCACTTAAAGAGGATTATGCACACGTCAACGTATAAACGCGGGAATGTACGCAGAATTACACGCGAAAACGTACTACGTCGGCTGGAAGGAAAGCAAAAAAAAACGAAGAAAAAGGAGATATCAGTCGTCGAGCCAACGACAAGCGATAATTTTAAAACCTGTGCCTACTACTGCCTCTACTTGCAGCAATGAGTATTATAGGTCGTTTCCACGGCTGCAAGCTCCTAACGATGTCTCCTCCGCTCTATAATCTTCTGGATTTCCGAGCTTATATGTATATAGGAATAGATATCAAGGCTAATTGAATAGAAAATTTAATGGGGTGGAAGGAAAAATTGAGGCGCAATTGAAGCGCCTCAAACTAGCTGATCCCGAAAGCTAGTCGGGACGAGATATTACGGACAGTGAATTATTATCAAAGAGATATAGCGCGTAGTAGCGGCAAAGGTAAACATGTCATCGAGATATTTGATGAGAATTCGAATATAAAAATATAAAAAGAGGTGAAAAAGCTCTGCACGCGGAGTAGTTTATTTTAATAAACTGAAAACTGATTTTTGTTTCGGGCGCAAAAACCCGAAAACCGAGACTCGACAGTTTATTTGCTTGGAAAAACTTTACACCCCGCGTGCACTGCGGGGGGATCAAATAGCTTTTAACGCGCCGTTCGAGTGCAAAATATAAAACGCGAAATGTATATCGAGTAAAAGCTCGTACACATTTTATCGAGCACATTAAAATGGATTTTCGGGAAAAAGTAATTTATTAATATTTCCAACCGAAACATTATTCCGCGATATATCTCATCCTCGTTCGCGCTTCAAAAAAGCTTATGCGTTGCGTGTATACGCGTAGACAGTGTTTACTAAACACGTTCCAAATTTTGCGCCCATACAGGTAGCTGCTACTGAAAAAGTTTTTTTTCGCCAAGATAAACTTTTTCTTTTCTCGCTTACTCCGCGGCCCTTCTTTCCTCTATCTGCATCCTAATCACTCGTGTTAGATCTCACTCTCTTTTTCTCGACCCTCTTCGCGCGCGTACTCTCTTCTGGGAGCTTTTCACCGAGCTTTCCCCCCCATCCTTCTGAAAGTTTGCGCCTACAGGAAACTTTTACCATAGTTTTAAATGCGAATCGAGTTTTAAATGCGCGCGTCGATCTCTCGTCGCGTCCACCATCACCACCATCGTACCCCACCGCGGATGGAAAAATATTTGCTTTTGGGAAACTCTTCTTCGTTTTTTTTTCTGGTTTGTTTCTTTCGCCTTTATATAACTACCGACTACCATATTTACTCGTGGAAAACCAGAGAGAGTATATACATATTTATGAGCGGTGGTGTGTTTTTCCATCGGCCGCAAAGGACCGGTGCGCGCACTGGTTTGCGCAAAAATAAATAAATCTCGGACCGAGAGAGAGAGAGAGAGAGAGAGACAGGACTTAATTGACGAAGCAGACGATGACGACGAAAGCGCTTTGAAAGATATCCCGAACGTGTGCGCGCGCGCGAGTGTGTACACCTAATACGCGTGCGAAACGGCGGCCTTCTCCTTTTTTTCGGGGCCGCCAAACGGAATTTCGTGCTCGTGATCGTGTCCGGATATATCTACATGTTGTTATATACCGGTATATGCTACTACACCCACGCGCGCGCACACACACACGTGTATTACAAATGGCTCTCCAGAGAGTCTAGGCGCGTTGCTCTTTGTATATCGCATACAACAAAGTGCTCTCTCTCTCTCTCTCTCACTCTGTTGCGCTTTTTTTTTGCTCTCTCTCGCACGTATACATATACCGGCCGAGAGTGCAGTGGAGAGAGACCCCCAACTCAATCGGGAGATATTACGAGCAAGTTGAGAGAGAAAAAGAGAGGGACTGAGAGCTCGATGTACCCTTTTGTTCTGTCGATTAAAGCGAAAGGGGTGTGGTGGTTATAAGGCCTGCTGCTGGTGACCGGT